CATATTCCCAGCAGTGACAACAAGAATATGTTTTGGAAGAGTTTGACTTGTCTGCCAGTGAGCTTTCAACACATTGGCAAAAATTCCAGCATTGATGGCAGTACGGTCAGCATTGCCATAGACGCAATATGATGCGGCTGCTGGAATGGCTCTGGGTTTCAGCTTGATACAACACTCATTAATTGCATCAATATCATGCAATGTGTATGTGTCATTGCGAAATCTGGATAGAAGGCGACCCCATTCTGGATCCTCTCGGAATCTGTGCAAACCAAGAAGCTCAACATAGCAATTAATGGAACTAATCCACTTTTTGTCACTGTGAAAAGGAGAGTATAGTGGGGTTCCTTTAACTGGCTCAAGTTGTCGAAAGTCTCCACAGAAAAGAATATGAATTCCTCCAAACAGGGTATTGTAGTTTCGCATGAGGCACCTTAACTTTTCATCAAGAAGGTCCACCTCTTTTGTACTCATAAAAGACACCTCGTCAATAATAAGCAATCTGGCATTGATCCAGGAAGTATCGTCACTGGGAATTTTCCTGTTAAAAAAGGCCACAGAATGTGTTGTTTCGCCGCCTATAGAAACAGCTGCAACTCCTGACATTGCACTCACAATGATGGTTCTCATATCAAACTTCAAGTTCAACCTTGTAGTGAACTCTCTTGCATACTTGAGAAGTTCCTGGACCACTCTGCTTTTGCCAGCTCCACCAGCTCCATCAAGAAAAAAGATAAGCTGATCGTGCTGTAACCTGGAGAGAACTTGGAGCTTTCTTTTTTCCTCCAGAAAAACACGCCTTATTTGGCTTGGGTTGTTGCAGGACCTCAATCTATCAGGATCCAAACTGACTGCATCTTGATAATAGGTAAGAACAAAAGCAGCTGTTATAATTTGGAATGCCAGCTGTTGTTCTGCATCCAAGTTGAGATCCTGACGAAGTGACCATTCAATAATTGCGAAAGTACAGTTCCATCTGGTTCCACAGAGCTCTCAATTGATCTGGATGATTCTTCAGATACTCTTCTTCTAGTATTGCGATACGCCAGTTCCATGAGCTGGTGTCGACTGGGTTTGTCTCTTGCTGGAACTGCAGGTACACTTGAATGGCTTGCACCATCATTGACGTTCCATGTGGTTGCTATTTGAGAGACAAACTGACTGGGAATGCCTGACCTGTTCGCTGGAGATTCTTCTTCTTGATTGTGATTTATGGAAGAGGTCGTGGGCTTAACTGGTGGTAAATTGAAAAACAACATCCTCTTGCGCCAGCTTTTCTCAGATTCTGCAGAGATATATTGCCCTGGACAACACCAGAATTAGAGGCTTGAGCTTGTTGTTGCCTTTGAGGTGAAAGAAGATCAAAAACACCATCAAAAAAGTTGTCATCATCTTCTGCGTCACTGTCTTGGTCCTGCAAATCTGTGGAGCCTGGACTGTGGAACCGTTCTGTACAGTTTAGTATAGGATCTTCCTTGGGTAGCATCCGTACACTGTTGTAGAACATTTGGACATTGGACAGAAGTTCTCGAATGTGGCAGGGGACTCCAGTATGGTACACCCTCTTAAACATTTTGTGAAAGGAACCATCAATGGTAATGTCATCGAGGCTCCTGAATGGATGATACAAAACCAGTATGGTCTGACAGTAGTTCTCCACACTTGTATTCATTGGATACTGACTCATTTGAAGGATGTCACCACCAAAAGAAGAAGCATCTGGAAAGGCCCAATGAGAAAATTGTGCTAAGACAGGCTCCTTCTGTTTCTTTATAATCTGTTTGTTGTAACCAGGATGTGCATTGTCATCAATAGTAGTGTAGGTTCCTTCAGCCTCATTAGTTTCACTGGGTTTGTCACTTCGGACAATTTCGTACTCTTGAAAGAAGTCAATAAGGCAATAGTGCTCGAAGTTCTTCTTAGGACATTGAAGATAGTGTAGTGCCTCACTTGTAAGGAAACAACCACTGTCGTGCTGTAAAACAGACATATTGAGGGAGTCGATGGTAGTCCTCTGTATCAGTTCCACCACCTCTTTTACTGGGATGTACTTGAACTTATGGGACCATCTAAATCTTGATTGATTGCGAACCAAGTAAGCAGCCATAGGAGCAGCTACTACATGTTCGCTTGTTCCCACAATCACTGTGCCCATTAACCGGGAGAATCCCTCAAAAAGTGTATTGTCTTTGTGTTCTTCCAGGAATCTATGAGCCACATAAGATCCCATTTTCTTGAGCTCTCCAGTGTCCTCCTTCTGAGTTCTCTTTGCTGCATAGCAACTGCAGTATATAGCTGGTCGTGCCCCTGTGGTGACTTGAATGTTGGAGTTGCATGGACATTTGGAAGCTGAAATTGCTTTGCAGTATGAGTTAGTGTAAGCGTCTTGAAGCGTTCTCTTGGGTCTTACAGTGATGCTGGATTGGAGCTCTCTTTCACCTTTCCAATTCAATGTGTCGTACTGAATATCGCTATACAGAATATTGGATTTGGGCTCCATGACATCAGGTAGGTTTGCAGCATCCTTCATCTCCCTTTTTGAAGCAAGTTTTTGTGTGTTTGCTTAAGTGATGATTAAACCGATAGTTGTTTGCACTTATTGATTCATCAGACACAATGACTGGGGCAGTTGGAATGGTACTTTTCAGCACTTGAAGTGCAACATGAGCTTTTCTTTGATCTTCCGGCAGTTCCCAGTCTGTCTTTGAGAGAACTCTCTTCATTGCAAGTTCATCGCCTTGAAACTGAGTTTTACAAGCTGGACAGCTAGTAGCAAGAATGCCCTTCTCAAACTGACAACCAATTCGGTGTCTCAGGTTTCGCATTTTTTGTGCATCCACATAAGTAAGCAAGCTCTCATTGCATGTTGGACAATGATCACCTAGTGGTTGTGCATTAGGGACCAATTCTGTAGAAATTACTTGGTCCACAAAGGAAAGAACAGCCTTCTCGGCTCTAACTCTGATTTCCTTCTTTGGAGAGTGCAAATCTCTGAGTGTGTCATTCCATTCCAATGTGTACACCAAAATACGCCCATGCAAAGTGTTGCGACCTTATTCTTCAACAGCAAGGCCATATGCAGCTAGTGCGCCAAACAGACCCATTTTTAAGTCGTTTTCACCCGCAATTTTTCCAACACAACTTCAATAAGTTCTTCAAAGTTCCAAGCACATATGCCGTGGTACTTGTATCTAATGGCATTGCATTTGTCCATTTCCATTGCCACTTCATCCGAAGACATAGAGTCCATTGAATTGATCCAGTGAGCTGCATTTTCTTCTCCAGAAAGCGCCAGAATTCTGATGTCCAAACAGTCATCAAAAGAAACAGTGAAAAGAACTTTTGGACAGCCAAAATGATGAGTTAGTGTTAAGAATCTAGCATGTGCTGCTTGAGCTGCACTATTGGTGTGGGCCATGTTCTTCTTCACACAGCGAACTGACTCTAAAAAGTTGTCTCCAGGACCATTTACAGCTGGAAGACCATTCAGCTTACGGGATATTGCTGCATTGAGTTCCTCTTCACTGACATCACATTTTCCCTTGCCTCCCAAAACCTGCCACATAGCTCCATTCAGAGCTCTGCACCGCTCAAACATGTTGTGCACTGCTAACACAAAGCAAGACTGATGGAAGCTTGGTATAGACAAGGATAAGAGATGCCTTAAGTACCCATTCTGAGATGCTTTGATATTGAAGTCTTCGTGATAGCCATGACCATAGGGAAATTGAAGCGGAAAAGCTCTCATACTAAGGGTCTCATCTTCATAGTCATGAAGCAGTTTTGATGAGGGTCTTGAAGTCAAATAGGGGATTGTTCCCCCACACCGGGATCGAATCTCTGCAATGGCCCTGTCAAACTCGGCTCCATCACTACATCCTGCTGTTCGAATTGTTGCATCTGGGAATACAATCTTATTTCTTATTTCAATTCAATGTCAGAGCTCTCCGCTTCTACTCTGTGTGAGTTGTCAATAATTGTTGGAGTGCCAATTGTTGGGAGTTCCAGATCCTTGTAAAGCCGGTTGTTCTCTTTCAGCCAGTAAAATGCCTCTGTCACCCATTCCACATTTACCTGTGCTTTTTTCAGCACTTTCTCCTTCTGGTTCGATGTAAATGGTCCAGAGAGGACAACATCAATATTCTTTGAGTCAGTGAACTGTCTGTCCCACATTCTGCAATACTGCTGTAGTGTGTGCTGGATCCACTTCGTAGAAGCTGTGCCATCCTTTGATGCTTCGATGACATCGACCCCAATATGTGAATAGATGACCTCTGAATCTTGCTTGTGATAATATTGCCAGCTCTATTTCATTCAATCTTTGCAAACAAAGCGATGCTGTACCAATGGCCATATCATTTGCAATTGCATATCTTGGCAACTCCCCATTCTTCAGCTTCTTAGGAGAAAGACCCCTTTTGCAGTCATGGCAGCACAATACATTTGGTGATCTCTTTCGGATATCACTGTACTAGACAATTTAGCTTCTTGGTGATAGAAGACATGTTGACAATTCTGATTCAGCCACATTGTCATTTGGCACTGTCACCTTGTAGCAGTTTTGAAGACTCTCTGATAAATCATTGGACCCTTTCAAGTAGGGGCATACTTAAGGAAAGACTTAAGTCCTACTTTGCTGATTTCCTTCCTTTTTAATAGTCGATCACAAACAAGACACACCTTCCCACTCAGAGTATTCCAATCTGCATCGTAATGAAGCAGAGAGTCAACTTCAGTATTGAATTCACCTGAGAATTCTGACATTCTGAATTATGAGACTTTCACAGCATATTGAAGCATCATAGCACTAACTGACACTTCACCACACCAGTTACATTCCCCTAGGACGACTCATACTACTTGACCCATATTCTGTACTTCTGACTGTGATTAATAGTTTATGATTGGCTAATCAAATCTTATTCTGACTCCACACTAACTCATATATCTACTACCTACTAGACCTACACAATGACGTTGTCACTGGCTGACTCTTCCCTAACTCTCATTCCGACTGTTCATATACTGACTCATACATAGTACATGGCTGGCTGACTATCAAGCACTGACTCACACCCATTGGCTGACTACCAAGTACATTTCCCAGTTGCTGACTCATGGCTGATATACAGCTAGTACTGGTAGCCAGCCCCGACGACATGCGTTTCATTCTGTCATAAAATTGGTTAACCATGGTTCGTACCAATCAACATAATTCGACAAACAAGGAGTCCCCAACCAAGGCCAATGGTGGTTCCAAGGGCAGTGGCCGTGGCACACCATTGAAAAACAGGAAAGCCAAAGCTGATATCAAATCTATTAAGGACCCCCTGGGTGGTACCTTGCTTCTGAGCATCTTGAAGCCAATGTCCAAGTCATTAACTTGACTCAAAGTGATAGGAACCAGGACCCCTACCAGCAACCAGTGCTTGAACAAGTCACAGGCAATGGCACTCCCGATGATGACTCTGGTATTAATGACATTGGTATTATTGATGGATATCGTATGCGCAGGTCTTTGCAAGATCCAGCTCCTCTCCTCAATTCCAGCAACACTTACCAGCAAAAGGTATTCGTTCGAGTCCTTGATCCTGATGAAACAAGTGAGTCAGATCTTCTGGCAGCGTTGCAAGTGGTTCAACGTTTCCTTCAGAAGGCTGAGAACAACCGATATGGTACTAAGGTCTTCATCAGGCAACCAGGATGGAATTTGACATCCACTGAGCCAAGCCCTCTCAGGAAAATTGATCATGTCTTGCAATACTCAGAGATTGTTCGCCTGATGAATAGTCTTTTCGACAATGTCAATGCCAGCTGGGCTATCAACAATATGGAGACTGCCTCCTTGTTTTTTACTGAAGGTCACATTCCTTTTGAAGCCATCAATGATCTAGGTTTTCCAGTTGATGCCGTCAACAATAACATGGTTGCTAATGTCCCACCCCTCCTGCTGCTGGACTTCCCCCCCTGGTGCTAACAACAATAATGAAAGTGGCTAAAAAGTTGGGGTTTAAATAACCACGCTGCATGCCTGCAGAGAGTAAGTCAAAGTTATGGTTGCGAGTGTAACCGTGATGTCCTGCCAACAGAATAATTTGTATGGAGAAGTTCCTATTTAGTATGATACTAGCTGTTAACTATTTAATCCTACAGTAAACTTCTTATTCTTACTACTTCCTTCCTTATAGTGCCTGCGTTGCTCCGGCAACTGTCTAATTGGCATCAACCAACTTTACTCCTACTCTCTTTTGTAGTATAACTCTGTGTTCTGTACTAGTTACTAGACACCTAATAGTTCCCGTGCCCCCTTTTCAACTATCTAATTGGCAACAACCTACTTCACTTCTAAAACAGTATTAATTCTTTCTTGCTCCAGCAATGTCTAATCTGCATCAAACAACTTTCCTCACTTTTGTAACACTGTCTATTTGGCATCAAACTGGTTTCCTTTGCTTCTATAATTACACCGCCCCTACTTATGTAGCTGTTTTCGTACCTGTGTTCTGCAGTCATTGCAATGGCTAACCAGCAACCCAGTAATTTTTTTGCCACACTGCACAGCAGCTTTCTTAATTTCTAATAACTCCGCCCCAACCATGCAACAGCAAGCAATCGTCCCCACATTGGCAACAGCAACAACATGAGTTGACACAGCAAGAGCAGTACCAACAGCAGAACCGCCACAGCAGCAGAACGACCACAGCAACAACTACTACAATGTGGAGCATTTATCGGGAACCAACCCATCACCCAAACACCTCGGCACATCCAAAGCCTCCAGACACCTTTAGTTGGTGCAAATCTTGCCAATCGTATTACAAACCTTCTTGCAACTCCCAGACCACTGCTGATCCAGTCGAGTTGCTCACATGCCCCCCCTGCATTGCACGCAATATTGAGGAGGCAAATAAGCACTTTCGATCACTCCTTGGATACTCTTTCTATCAGCACATCGAAGAGTTCTACCTTCCCAGTACCACTACCAACCTAAAAGATATCTCTGATTTGGTTCCTGGCCGATACCAGCTCCTGTACCATGTTGGCAGTGACACCGACGGGCAATTTTCAAGAACGGCCAATGGATGGATGACCATCTCGGTCTATGACAACACGAACAAACAGCTCCTCAGATTTGAGTTCCAAAAAAGCGGTGATCTACTCCAACAATTTCCGATTCTGGCTTTCAGCATTCGGTGCCTTTATCGTCATGCGAATAAGTTCAATTTGATACTTGATGGCAGTGAAACTGAAGCAGATTGGGCTGGTGAGCACTTCGAACAGAATACTTGGGCCAAGGTTTCTTTCTTCGACAAGACAACTATTCTACCACATGCCCCTTACGAATTTTGGGAGCCTTTCTCCCCTTCAGCCATTGACTACTAGCGTCCTTATTGGCTCCTGCCGAAAAGCTACGTAGATGGCTTTCCCTCCCTTACAATTCCCAAAGGATCCCTGGTGGTGGATCTTCATTATGACGATGGTCCCTCCCAAACAATTATTGCACAAATGCTTGCTATTTAGCTCGTTACTGAATAGTAGAGACTTAAAATAACATTAGTACTAATTTTCCTGTGTCGCCTCTCCATCATCTAGCACTTTCAAATACAATTCTTGCATGGCTAGGCTACCCTTGAACTCTCTCTTGATTTGGGCTGCTGGTGAGTGCATGACTACACAGTGGCGTCGAATGAGCTTACTGTGATCGGCACCTAAGAACTTCATCCTTTTGCCGAGCCACCTGAACGTAATGGCACATCTCAAACAATTTTGCTGATTCCGCCCTTCAAAGCGTGCATTGTGATAGTATACAACATTTCACTAGGATCCAGTATATATACTGACCCATGCCCAGTTCCGAAGCTACTAACCACATCAAACTGAGGTTTCTCCTTTTTCTTTCCCTTGGCTGCCCTCTTCTTCAAGATCCTCATTACCTGTGAATTGAACAAAGAAACAACAACCAACGAGCTACCCACAAGCTGGCTGTTGCTGTCAGTTTTCACTGCCAACTGTGGGTTCATATCTTTATGGGGATTGATTTCCCCTTTCACCACACCAAAGTATTTGTGCTCCGTTGGGAGGACATTCTCTTGATACTGGTGATAAAAAGGGTCTAACCAACTTCCACACTTCCACCTTCAACCTTGCAATGGCTTCGTACTCCGAAAATTTCCTTCCACAATAGAAAAGGGATGCTATGAAGCTCGATGTGTATGTCCACCCTTCTTCCACCATGCATCGGAAGCGGCCGTCGTATTTGGGTTCATTGATTCTGTCAAATAGATATAATCGTCGAGGGTTGCTGTGCAGGCTTTGACTCAAAAGGATCAAACCGCCACCAGGGTTGGTGCCCAATCTGGACACTGGGAAATGGTCAAACCAACAAGTGTCATTACTTGTTAATTCTACCAATTTATTTGGACATATAATGAATTCATTCCGATACAGGGCATTACACCATGCCGGCAACTTATCCACAATGTCACTGATTAAATCTGACTGAATAGCTGTGACAGGAAAGTGAACAGACCTTCCCGTGGATAAATTCCTCGGCCAGCCATCTGAACCAAACAGTTCTTTCGCCTGCATATTATTGTCGGGTGGCATTATCCAGTTGGGGGTTGGTAGTGTTCTTGGAATTTCTGGCCCTGTCATTGGGGACACAATGTAAGACAATGTGTGTCTCACATCCCAGATTGGTGCTGCTCTTATGCACTCAGAGGGCCGGATGTCCCCTACCTTCATCCACAGTAGTGTCATTTCCATCATGCAACTCCATTGCTTGGCCTGTCTAAAATCTGCTCGTGCACTCGATACATAGTCAACAGTGCATCAATTTCCCTCTTCCCCAATTCGTCTTCCAAACTAATCGGCACCTTTTGTTGGATAACTCCTTTCCAATGTACTGAAATATTCTTCGACCCAACTTGCATTGTATGGTTCCGACTTGTCGTAATATCAATTCCATGCTCCTTTAACAATGCTACTCTCCATTGCCAATACTTCTTCTGCTTGTTTCGTCCAAAACTGCTTCTTTGTTTCACTATCCAGCTGTACAACTCTGTGCCTCTTTTCGGCAGTGTCTTTGTGGATCCAATGAATGTGTCGAGCTGCCGCAACCTTTCAAAGAAGTTGGCATCGGTTTTGATAGTTACTGATGCTCTGCCACCACCTGCCATTTTCTATTTCACTACCTCGATTGACTGTGCCTTGGAGAGATTGAGCCTTCTGTGAGGGAAAGCTTTTGATGCCATTTACTTTACTGCTTGCTACCATACTACAAATGCATGCTGCTGCTGCTGCCACTGAAACCCCGCCCTTTCAAAACTGCACAGAGAACTGGTCATGATGCCAGACTGAGACTCAGTGACTCAGTGGCTGAGATCTAAGATCACCTTGGAGCCTCACGCACTTTCCACACCATCGTTCCATCGTATTTCCTGTCCGACTGTTTCCATCGTGTTCTGCCCTCTCGCATTGTTTTCACACAAGGAATTCATATCACAAACAAACAAGAAGAACCCTGAGCGGGCAAGGGCGTGTGAATCAACGATCAAGAAGCAAATGCGCAAGCCCTGTGAAATACCGAAAGCACTGTCCATCGTGTTTTGGCCAATCGGAGAAACCACATGGAGCACCAGTCAAGTGCAATCGCTGGTCGCTTCCAACTAGTACACTGCAAGTACGTCCACCCTCCAGCAGCAACCATAAACCAGTGCCACAATACACATCGTGCTCCGCCTTTTCGAACAGTCAAGACCATGACGAGTAAATTGAATGTATGTACCGGTACAAGTGAGGGCCGATAACTTTTAGGAGCGAGAGCTCTGGATCCCGTCAGAGATAGCTCCAACAGCTATGCTGGCCTACAGCTCCAGCATGCACAGTTGGCTTATCTCCAGCCAAAGCAGCAAGAAAGGATCGTCCTTTCCATCATAGTTAAGAAAATAGTACGAAAGATTGAGACCGATCCTGATTAGCTTGTAGCCCCTTTGATACTGCAGCAGTTGATTCCTATCCTGTTGAGGCCGGGCAGAAGCAGTAGGAGGTAGCAGATAGTACTGTTCCCAGACTGCCACTGCACGATTGAATAACGAAGGCCCCCAGCTCCTGAGGAGAGCTGGCCCAAAGGGCCCAGCAGAGAGCTCTGCTGGCCCTCCTATCTGACTGACAGGGCCAAGTCCTTGGTTTGGTGCCTACTGGAGGTGTTGGATACTCCTGAGGCACTCCAAGGCTCCCTTGCTGCCTGACTTCCACTGTTCCTGAGGAAGGGCTCTAGCGAGGCCCAGTCCACTACTTCAGTACCGGAACAAGAATCTATTGGATTAACAGTTGCATAGAATTCAGGCAGTTTTAAGGGAAGGAGAGTCTCCAGGCCGACAAGGAGCCCTCTGCATTACAACAATCAGAGCTACACTACAGTTACAGTTGGTTTCATTGGAAGTTGACAGCAGGATTCCAAGCTCACTTTGAACTCCTTAGTCAACAGCCTTCTGGTCAATTCTGACAGCTCTAGCCTTCACCAGAGCATCAGGAACCTTTGAGTTGACTACCCACCAATCCAACTACAAGACCAACAGCATCACCATTGCCTTCGAAAGGACCTATCCCACAACATCTCCAACGACGGAGCTACAGTACAAGCTACTAGCTCTTGTTCGCGGCTTGACGGCTTGACGGCGAAGAAAAGCAGCCAATTTACTCGAAAGAAGAAGCACTGGTCCCGGGCGAGTCTCCGAGTGAACAGGAGACTTATTGTTTTTGCACCTATCTTGGCAATCGTGCAAGTCATTTACGTCTCGAGGAATTTTGCTGTTTATCAGGAGCAACACCGCAATATCCCTTTGAGATCCGGGCTTATTGCTTGCAGCCTTTTCAGCGAGTTACGTGATTTATTGGAAGTCCCCATGGCTTATCTCTTTCCATTCGTCTGTGCAGTTTTCAGGTGTCACGAATTTCCTACCCGGAACGTTGAAGAAGATCCCACGGAAGCGACTCAGCCAATCAAATCGCCCGTGCAGTTTTCGAAGGTCGCCACATTGTCTCGGTACTTATTACCGTTGCACTGAGTCAGTTTGGCACGACCAAGAACGTTCCGTACCACTACGAGAGGTTCTGTACCGGTTGCTTCCGTTAAGGCTTATTTGTTCCGTACCGAAAGCAGGCTCGGTCTCCGTAAACTGGAAGCATGCTGAGTCATTGAATTCGGCAGGCAATCAAATTACGATCTTGTGTACCGTACGGAGCTGCTGGAAGAGTAACTCGGAGCGACACGGCGACAGGAAGGACCTCCTCGACAAGGATACAAGTATCACCAGTGAAACCGGCAGTCCTCTTTTAGTCAGTGGGTACCTCACTTTGGATTTTGGAAGCTTTTGTGGGGAGATTCATTGATCCAAGTTGACTTGCTCCACAGGACCTCTGTGGAAACTCGAGTCGTGCTACTTTTCGTCTCCTAAATCCTTTTGATCGTCTCCTATTTAATGGATTTCGTCTCCTAAAAATAGGAGACGAAACGGATCGTCTCTTAAATCTTTTGTCTCCTCTTAAAACGTCTCCTATTTTCAACGGATCGTCTCCTATTCTCAACGGATCGTCTCCTAAGTGTACCATGTAAACTGTATGGTATCGTCTCCTAAATCTTTCGGATCATCTCCTATTTCGAAATTTTCGTCTCCTAATTGGAATGTCTCCTACTGAATTGTCTCCTAAATATAGGAGACGATTGCTTTCGTCTCCTAAATCATTTCGATCGTCTCCTATTCCTCGGTGTATCATCTCTTAGTTAAGTATTTTGCCACGAATGACGTTTCCACAGAGGTCCAGTAGCAAAAGCACCACAAACCAAGGCAGTTACCAGCACTACGGCAACACAGGAAGCAGGTCCCAACCCTTGTACCTGGTCCACCTTATTCCAACAGACATAGATTGAATTTTCCAGCCCCATACTAGCAAGGTCCCTGGAGGTCATCTTTGTGGATTCCAGATTACAGTTGAGTCAGCTTTACTCTCCTGCTACAACAGCTTTGGCAGCAACAAGAGGCACAATGTCTAGCTACACCGACCGGTGCTGGTGCCACTACTCAGACCAATGCTGGTGCCAGGTTGGTGACAACAACCCAGAGTACCAATCCATCTTCGGGATCCTTGACAAGGCACCCCACCACCGTCAGGACACTTGGCCAACAGTGTATCCAGCGCCCGAATCCCCCTTTGCGATCCTTGACAAGGCACCGGCATCACCTGGACCCAAGCCAATTGCTACCCCAACAGCCTACGAAATTGCAGAGGCCATAGGTGGCTTCCAACCAATAGCAAACATGTCACCATCCGACGCTAGGACAAGGCTGACAGAGCTCATGGAACCACACCAGCAGCAGGCCACTACCGGTAGCTACTACAAGACCAGGCAACACAGGCAGAAAGCAGCCGCCAGGCAGCCCAACCACCAGCCAGCTTACAAGCCAGCTTGTGGGGAGCCGCCAGGCACTCGCCATTTGCCCCTTACAGGGGCTCACCACCAGCTGCCCAACGCCACTCCCTTGGTTGCCCGATTGCAACCCTCTGCCCTCACTGGTGCTCCCAATGCATCACTGGGTGATGGGGAGATTTCAGACGAGCTGGCTACCTACAGCTCCAGTGTTCACCCAGCTTTTCCATTGGCTTTGAGGGTACCAGACCACTATGATCCCAACCACGGGCCAAACGCTCTAAGGGCCCACAACCACAATGTTTATACCCCAGACATACGAGACAGCCAGGTCTCCTTGCAACAACAACAAAACGGTGTGGCCCGCCAACTCAACCTCATGAGAGATGACCTCGAGTCATTCAAACGAGACATGAGTACCCAGCTCCTTGCCTTTGAGGACAAAATGACAACTCAACTGGAAGCAGCCCTTGCAGTCGCTGAAAGGCAACCTGTCCACGCGAACCTAAAGCATCACAGGGCCACTCGTTCCAAGCACAATGCTATTGGCATCCAACAATGATTGACAAATGCCCTATCGGCTACCAACCAGACGCCCAGCAATGTAGTCACGGCTCCAGCTCTTGCCAGCCCTTGTAGTCATCCAACCTCTGGGGAGATCATGGCCAAACCTCTAGCCAACAGGCAACCAGCTTCCATTGCTGGCAACAACAACATTGCAGCTGCAGCTGCACAACCAAATAGACCAAGTATGGCTCCCACTCAGCCAGCTCTCCAACCAAGAGAATATGATCAGACCCACACTGTAGTGACCCCCAAGCAACCTGCTCCAAGACACAGAGCACACAAGGGTTCCACCACAACCAACATCGGCAGGAGACCAAGGGACCCATCACCTACAGTGACGTCCAAATTTCCCAGCCTGGTTCCCACGGGACCACCAACCTACGGCACAGCTAGTGCCACAAGACTTGTGCCCAATGAGGTGACATTATCTTTGGATAGGACCAGCCTTGGTCCAACCATCACCAGTCCATTTGCCAGGAGGCCCACCAAGTATATACCCTCTGCTCTTGGTGGAATCCATGGGGAGCAACCACAGCAAGCACCTTTAACCAAGGCAGCTTTGGTGTCTCCTACCCAGGAGCTGACTGCCATGGTGTCCCCTTCCCAGAAGCTGACCGCCACCATGCTTTCTACCCCAAAGCTGGCTGCCATGGCATTAGTGCATGGCAATGGACCAATCCCGGTGACGCCCCCGGATTTTCGGACGGGCAACTAGACTACGTCCCTGTCTGGTACAGCCCATCCATCCCATCCGTCAATGGACATGACTGCGGGGCAAGAAGGCCGCTCCACTGAGAGCTTGCCACCGCTAGACACGGCCTGTGGCAAAGCCACGAATATTTGTCTACATATGAACAAAACAACAACAGCTATGATAGCAACCAGCACCGCCAACACCTACCGAGTCTGGCCATGCTGATGGAGCACGCAATCCCTTTGCGCCTACCTTTGGTCCAGCAACCGACCAACCATGCAAGTCCCTCCACTTGTGAGATCTTCAATCTCACATTGTGTTCCACTAGCAGTCGATGCTGAGTGGCCCATGGATGTTCCATTCATGGGGAGAGTTTGTAGATAGTTAGTTAGTAACTAATCGTATATCGTGGCATACCCATGAGAGCGGATCCATACGCACTCGTGGGGAGCAATAACTTTTAGGAGCGAGAGCTCTGGATCCCGTCAGAGATAGCTCCAACAGCTATGCTGGCCTACAGCTCCAGCATGCACAGTTGGCTTATCTCCAGCCAAAGCAGCAAGAAAGGATCGTCCTTTCCATCATAGTTAAGAAAATAGTACGAAAGATTGAGACCGATCCTGATTAGCTTATAGCCCCTTTGATACTGCAGCAGTTGATTCCTATCCTGTTGAGGCCGGGCAGAAGCAGTAGGAGGTAGCAGATAGTACTGTTCCCAGACTGCCACTGCACGATTGAATAACGAAGGCCCCCAGCTCCTGAGGAGAGCTGGCCCAAAGGGCCCAGCAGAGAGCTCTGTTGGCCCTCCTATCTGACTGACAGGGCCAAGTCCTTGGTTTGGTGCCTACTGGAGGTGTTGGATACTCCTGAGGCACTCCAAGGCTCCCTTGCTGCCTGACTACCACTGTTCCTGAGGAAGGGCTCTAGCGAGGCCCAGTCCACTACTTCAGTACCGGAACAAGAATCTATTGAGGGCCAACAAAGTGACACCTTCTCTGCAGGGCGGAGACAGAAGCTTCAACGCTCCCACGCCCAAGAAGGCGGCAGCGCCATCGGCCACAGCGTTGAATAACCCAGCAGGGCAGAGAACCACCTACCAAGACAAGAATGTCTCTACCACCAATCTCGTTACTGAAAGCGAGGCGTTGCTGATGATAATGACGGATGGAGTTGAGAGACAAGAATTCTACCAAAGTGCGGTGGATTTGCACGGAAAAGCCGTTGTCGAAACATGCCTTCTCTTCCTCTATGGCCGCAAGTTCTATATGATTTCTTGGGGATCGCCCCAGAGACCGCGCACTTGGAGAGGGTGAATTTGAAAACACGCCTTGCCATATTGGAAGTGATGTTTGCATCCGAAGAAAGGGTGAAACATCATGAATGACTGTGATCTTTACGATCTTGTGGTCAACAACCGTGGGGGGTGGGCTAAAAATCAGGTCAAGATGCTCGCAGGCTATCCTCAAGACAATGATCAAGAACATCACTATTTATTTACAGTTTATTTTGCATCAAACAATGGCAGAAAGGCTGCAGCAGATACCTTTGCTCGCCTTCTCGATTCCGGGGTTGGTTTGGTGGGCGCATTCAACGTTCATCCACCATTCAAAACAGTGCAGAAAGTCGATCATCCCGGTTTCTATGTCTTTGATGGAGATGCAACGGTGACACCCAAGTTCATGTCCCTCGACCAACCCGTGCAGAACGAATCTTGCTTTATGGGACTCGGACATCTCTTCAAAGGTCGTGACCACTATGAGGTCCAAAGGCTGAAGCGAGTTTGGGAGAATCAGCAGTTGCTCACTGGCAGCCTCAACAGCGCTGGTATGTCTCAAAGCGTCGTCAATCACACTGGCGACCAACAAAGCTTGACGAATCTACGTAACGCACAAGTTTTCCACCCCACTCCACCACATTTACAGCGTCCGACGACGGCCAACATGTTCACAGCATGGCTGCCACAACCACAACCACAACAACAGCCATTGCATTCTGTTCATTCCATGGTTTTACTAGGTGGATACAAGGCAGATGATGGCAAGGAGTTCTTTTTGATCCAGAATTCTTGGGAGAACATGCCATTGATTTTGGCTTCAACCAAGTACCTGAATGCATGCGGTGCTGTTGTGTATTTTCTCAAAGACAAGCTCGGACAATTACCAAACTACACTCGGAAGGCTGAGCCGGTCACATCTTGCTCACTGCCCGGTAGGAGCAAAAACTCTCCCCACCGGTTCGCCCCCTGGGCCCCCCGGAAAAATGTTAGACGACTATGATGCCGAAAGGTATCGTGTTGCTTGCCAGCAGACTATGCTAGTAGTTCATCACGGGCGTCACACACCATAAAAGGTGCTGGAGGACAAGATGAATCGTGAGACAACATCTTCATAATTGTGTGTGTGGTGATGGTAGCACAACGTTTTAGAGGGCTGCTTTCAAAGCAGTGCTGGCTTGTTATTAAGAGAGTAGCAACATTGGTCCAAGCAATGATCTTACTCGGTTGGAAACTAGTCTTACTTTTAAAAGAGCGGTTGAGGAACGGTTATCCTACGTAGCGTGCGTGCGTGTGGCGTGGGAACGACCAAAACTGGAACACACACCATGACTAACATCGCGAGCATGGAAAGACACACCCGGTGTGCACACGGAGTGTGGGAAGGTTACTTAGTAGGGATTTCGGTACTCGCCCTGGGAGGTGGATTCGGTTTCCCAGTGTCAACCGACATGACTCCATACCAACTGATGGTGTGCAGGGCGTTTGTGTACTTAGAGCTAAATTAATCATTTAGGGATCTCCCAATGGTGGTGCAATACACGGCTCTTAGCCTTATTCGCGACTCGATCCTAGATAGGGTTTGAGTTCGACTCATGACGTAGTCCTTCGCGAATAGTCATTGAGACAGGGTTCTCAATGACTGCTAGTCATACTAGGTTCGATTGAAACATCGCTCTAGATATTTAGCCGGCGTGGAAAGCTTCCCACGCTACTAGACAGCTTACTAGCTGAAGTTTCACGTGTTCCGGAAATGGACCGTGGAGTACGTAGAGTTATATGCCATAACCTACGATATCACACTTCGAGGCCTCCCGCGGGAGACCAACTTCAATGAGCTTCACAACGATCTCTCTCATGGATTAGTTTTCGTAGCTTTCTAATCTCTCTCATAACTTTCATTCTCTCAACTCAAACACTCGAAAGATCTTTAACTAGCTTTTAGCGTAGTGCAATTTTGTTAACAAAACACATAGCTTTCAGCTACCCTCAACCTATTCCTTCACCATGAAGATTGCTCAAGGAAGCATGCGTTCACCAACTTCGAGAAACAGTGCGTGACAAACCCATTCTTCCTCTTGTGGACAACGACTGAAGAAGCCGAGATCGCCAGATATCGTGAAACCACCTACAAACTTCGCACCGTTACCTGCAAGATGCAAACAGTGCCAATATAACCTTCAAGGTTCAAATTATCAATGGTTCAACACTCCACGTCAGACATCAAGTGGGCTACGAATATGGGAGGTTTCGTTGACAACGCAAACCTTGCCATGCCGACGACAAACATCGCTTCTCAAGGAGTGGACTTCCAGCTCTGCGAAGCAGTTGACCTACGAGCTGGGTGTGCAGGCCATCTTGTGCCTGTATGCGTACCACAACCTACGACAAAATTGCTGTAAACCAGTTGCTTCCACGCACGTGGGTTCTGGAGAAACCGAGTCCAATTCCAAGCTCGTGTTCAAGCCG